ACCTAATATAAACTTGGTATAAGACACCATCTCTCCTATTTTATAGACTGAAAAATTATACAGTCAGCATAGTTCTATGTTTATTTACTCCAAAATAAGCCCTTGTTGTTGTTTAGTCGTTAAGTCGTGTCCGACTCTTCGTGACCCCATGAACCATACTGCGCCAGGCCTTCCTGTCCTTCACTGCCTCCCTGAGTTTGCTCAGTTTTATGCTCAAAATAAGCCCTATTAAGCCACTAAAGCTTAGTCCTTAATAAGTATGTTTTGGATAGCAACTTCAGGGAATCTACTTGGAATCAATGACCATTTATAAATAGTTGCACACAGAATTAGTGTGTTCACACTGGGGATGCACACTGATGTTGTTGAGGAGATTAGTTAGATCAGTTGAACTTTGGCGACCTCTAAAGTCCCTTCCAATTCACACATTTTAGGATTGCATGATTATACCTCCACCCCCAGTACCATAAGGTAAGATAGTTCTGGAGGATGTTGAAGATGGGGTTCCTCTACTGAAATATAGAGCAGGACAAGGATCAACAAGTTGCCATGAAAATAAAAGAATTTCAGGCTGATAGGAGGAATTTCCTGATAGTGAAAGCTGTTAGGAAGTAAGTCAGTCTGCTGGAAACAGGGATGGGCTCCCACCCCCCCCATTTGAAATGTTCAGACAGGGGCCAGATGATCACCTTTTGGAAATAGTTAGTGGATTCTTGCACTAAGTAGAGTGTTGGAGCAGATGATGTATAAGGACCCTTCCAACTCATCCATTCTATCATTCCAAGCGATGCCTATGTTTAATTGCAGAAATTATTTTAGGCATTACATTTAACACAAACAGGTTAGTTCAGAAAAATCACAAATACTCTAGGGGTGTGGAGCAGTCTAGATTCAAAGTACAAAATGTGGCTTGAAACATGCATGGCTTTGCACATAACATCTGTTAGTAAAACTTAAAACAAAAGGCACCTTTCCCGGGACCTGCACAGCATTTTCAGAGGGCAATCATGGGAGTTTAAGATGTTCCCACAGGTGCAACATGCGTGCCCATCAGGGTTCCAAGTCTCATTTTGTCTTTCAAATCTGGATCTCTGCACAGATCTAATATTACTTCTGGAAAGAAAACCTTTTATACCCATAGATGAAAATACATGATATTCACATCTTTAACACATTATTCTAATTAGTCTGGTAGGAAAATCTTAAGTTCTCTAGCCTTCCCATTCCTGCATTGCTGGGAACCAACCTGTAAGTGGGAGAGGACCCTTTCCTGTTTCATGATGGGGTATATAAAAAGCTCTCACACTGAAGCTTCTCTAGGAACATATTTTCCTTCCCTTTCTGGTTACAGGTATGAAGACAGCAAAGAAAGAAAAGACCATGGGTAATATTTGTTTGCTCATTTTAATAAACAATGCCAGAGATGTGTAGTGTGTCCCTGTTTGTGATGATATTTAAAGCCTTGGTTGTTCAAATATATAAAGTTGTGTTTTTTAAAATATTGAGGAACTTTAAAATGTTTTCTGTGAATTCTGCCATGGGGTGCTGGAACAACTGTTTGCTTAAACTATCCTTCTAGAGGCCCTTTGAATATCTTCCTTCCTTCCTTCCTTCCTTCCTTCCTTCCTTCCTTCCTTCCTTCCTTCCTTCCTTCCTTCCTTCCTTCCTT